CGAAATAGTGTTGTCAATAAGGTTCCAGTCTCATCACTATTGCGATTCGAGTCCGCTTAGCGTTAGTAATTACTATACAATAGACTGTGTAATAACCAGGACATTACTCGGATCAGTTTTGGGGTCAATAGAAAGCTAGCATCGCAAGTTTAACACAGACCAGGACCCAGGATTTCGGGGTTCTCACAGCTACCACTACGATTTTTTAAGCAGCTGACTATGGTTGCATAGTCAACAAAGAAACATCGGGGTCAGATTACGGGTACAAAGACTACATAAGATGACCTTGGGGCTGCTGTTAAGGCGAATATTACGGCCACCTTTGACATAATTGCGAATGAGAAGGATAGGGTTGGGGTTGATGTTGTTCGGAATCAGGAGTCAGTTAAGGATTCTCGCCATTATGCTGGTATTCAGCAGACGTTTAACCTAAGGGTTTATATGCGCATACACACACAAATGTATTTATAGGCATACGGGCAAGTCTGGCAGCAAGTCCGACATGATCGGTCATATAGCACAATGAGAAGGGCATGCCATATACAATATAAGTGTTGATGTAAACAATCAAATGATTTTATATTTTATATTCACAAAAAACTTAAAGGCCATCATGTGGGCAACGCCAGAGCGAACACATCAAGGATCGTGGTTCTTAGTGGTTTTCGTTTCGTATAGCTTAACATAACATGAGTATGACGTCTACTGTTGAAGTAAATGTTTGGTCATTATTTGGCTTACTTGTATGAATATATCAGGAACTCGTATTGGGGATGCCACGACTTTAAACTTCGGGACTTCGGGGTCTGGAATGCTCATGCTACGGATACCACAGCTACATCTGGATTTATTAATTTGCTGGTGAGGCCACTGGTCTGGGTTTTCTGTTCAGGGAAGTATCCGGTACAGTACGAAGGCTACCACTGGGAAGAGCTTATGAGTGATTTGAAGATCGATCTTAAGTTTGCGAGTAAGGCGCATTTTGAATCAGATCCAATTCTGGGAATCAGGCTGACGAAATCATGTTATTGTTTTAACCTTCAGATCGATATGGGAAGTAGTATGGGGATGTAAAATGGGGTCATAAGTGGACATAGCACCTTGATCCATGCAAACTACGACGTTGATGTATAAGACATTTACTTTCGGTGAAAAAGAAGAAGGATACTACTGTCACCATGGGGGCCAATGTAAGGTCTAATGGCATGGATAGTGATAAGGATACAGCTGTTTAGGAATTTGAGTCAATCAAGGCATGGTCACTCATGCGTATTGCTGGGACTTTGATCTGAGACTACAGTGAAGGCTATTTTGGGATTGTTATTCGGGCACATGTTTATCTTCGGTTATTCAGACAGAAACTTTCCATCGTTTATCATCTTTCGGAGTATGTGCGTGAAGCGTCGCAAAAATTGAACATGAAGCCGGCTGCCGTCATACATATGCTTTCCCCTCGGAACTTCAAAATTGGATCATACAAGAGAAGCCCAAACGTAGGAGGATTGGCGGCGGTATCGCGTCACATCGCGGTAGTTCATGGGGAGGGTTAGCAGCACATATATATATATATATGTATATATATATATATATATATATATGTATATATATATATGTACATATATATATATGTACATATATATATATATATATATATATATTTATACACATACATACACACACACATATATATATATATATACACATATAAATACATATACACATACATGTACAGGCACATGCATGCATCCACACATGCGGGGCAGGCACCATCCTGAAATGGATACAAAGCCGTGCGCCGAAGCTGCATCGATACATTTCCCCTTGAAGTGTGCAAGACGACGTCTGCGGAAGCGAAGTTCCATGAGGCCTGCAAAAAGCAATGTTGCTATAAAGGCACACCTTTCGGCAGGCAGTCTGGACTGGCTCTGCGAGGTCGGACGAATGCGCGGTCGAGGCTCGCTGGAGAGCTGATTTCATTGCCGTGTACGGAGCTGCGACATGTTGCGGGGGGGGGGGCGGGGGTTGCAGGCTTGGGGCCTTGTGCGGTTTTCGTTGGCTTTCTTGCCTCTGATGTTTTCCCGGAGCCAAGGTGTGGAAGTTGCAGGTCCGACTCCAACTATAGATCCGCAGGCGGGGCGAAGCGACAGTTACGCATTGACGCCACTGGCTTTGCAGTACGGCTGTGGCCGGAGCAACAGACAGGAACCAGGCTCCAGGCTATGCCGGTATGGCCTGAACTGTTGGTTGGCGTCGCTTGAAATTGTGACACAGCTTGCTCCGGGACAGAGCTTCAACTTCCAGAGGGGTTGGCAGTTGAGTCCAAGACCCTTCCTGCTTCATCAGCTCTTGGGTGTCACGGCGTCTTCTTACGAGCAACCAGACGGTCTGTAGGAAGGGTTGGACATCAAGTCGCCATCCTTCCCAGTTTCGATCCATCGAATTCGTCCGGAGCAGGAGAGTCGAGAAGGTCCTTGTCCAGATCCTGAACCAATGCTGCCCAAGCAGCAGTATCACGAGAGAATCTTTCCGTGAGGAAAAACAGCTCATGCACAAGGGCGGCATGAAGCAATTCGCGATACGTGGTGCAAGTAGTGGACATTTCTATGTCGCTATTTGGGAACGGGTTGGCTGACAATTAGCTGCTGGGGCGTCCTGATGCGCTTGCTTCCATGCTTGTTTTACGCGATGTGAGCCGGAATCTGTGTTGATGAGACTCAGACTGGGGCTTTGATCACACGTGCGCGCGTGTTGAGGGACGGCTTGGAAGTCTCCGCAGCCAGCAAAGGCATTCTGAACCAGGCGGCAACTACCGGTGGGGTTGGAGACAAATACTAGCTACGCATCCACTCCAGGAGCCGGCTAGCGTCTAAGGGTGTGGTCTCTATGTCTTTCTGCTTAGCTTGCTGCCTTGAATTGAGTTGCAGTTCTTTTGTGAGATTGCTCGGAGGTGGAAATGACAGCCCGGACTTCTAGCTTGCAAACGGAGCTTGTGAAATGCAACCCGCTGGTTTGCGGTCACACCAAGAAGTTTTGAAAGAGATCAGACCCTGGGCCAGGGCCACCAATATATGTTCACAGGCGGACTGAGTGAGAAAGCTTTCGCGGTCATTTGCCAAGTCATCAAGGCCCACCCCATAAGGTAATGCTGCATCGGCGAGAGTGGGAACGTTCAGTGCTTGCGGCGAGCTTTCGTCGGACATCGAAGGACGCGGGGCGATCTGTGGCGGAACCCGAATGGCGGCGCAGGCTCAGGCGACTAAGATCTGCTCACCTTTCTCCCATGCATCTTTAGGGCACCTTACAATTTAGATCTGGCCTTGTGCGAATCGAAAGCCCGAGGACGCACCGCAGGAGGATGGTAGCCCAGCCACCATCAACACGTGCAGTACGGTTTCTGGACACATCGACACCAGGGCATCAGCAATGTACCATGCAACAAGCCCCGAAAGATCCGGGATCCGGCAGCCTTGAAGCTGCTCATCCACCAGACATCACGATGTGTTCAAAAAGCCGCAAAATGCACACTGTAGTCTTCAAAGGTGTGAGGCCTGTTGCATAGCTTCATCACACAACCATTTTCGTTCACCTGGGACCACAAATAACTGGTTCCAGTCGATCTGAAGACCCGGCCATCAAAAAGCATCGGTGGCGAGCGGTTTTTCTTTCTTTTTCTACCACTTTCCAAGGCATTGGACTGGAGGAAACACCATCAGCAGCGGAGGCAATCCTCTACTTACTGTTGGCAGTTGCCCCGGCGCTGCGAGGGCCAAGGTCTACAATTCAGCATAATTCAGCCATGTAAAGAAGACGTATGCGCCTTGCAACGTAAATTTGCTTGAGGGGCGGCTCGCTGTTTCATGCGGGGCCTGTTCAAAGGGCTGAGCCTGATGCACTTCCGGGCGCTGATAGACTTGCTGGCTGCAACGGCAGAGCGAGAGAGAGAGACAGAGAGAGTCTTCTGGGGTGCCACTCCGCCCCGCTTTTTCACGGCACCAAGGCCAAACACTCAGCATCCTTGATAGGGGTCCTGCTGCCAATTCGCTACGTTCTTGACTGGGGGCATAGTTCGCTGTCTTTCTACACTGTTGCAGACTGTTACCTAAGGCTGTTGACTAGCTGGGGAATCCGCCCGTCCTTGTGACCTGCGTGGTTCGTGTTTCAGTTGTTTGCTCACCTTGAAGAGGCGGGGGAACCATCGTATCCAACCGTTGTTTCTCCAGGGGGGGTGTGCCTGGCGAGGGGCAAACGATTGTGCTTCAGTGAGGCGTGGATGAGGCAGTTCTTACCAGGCACGTACCACCAGCAAGACCTCACGTTGGGGGAAACGTTCCTCCTACTTTTGCGGACCCCGCAGCCTCTTCCACCGCCGAGTCGGGGAAGGGGGCGCCCGGGCGCGGGTCCACGACCTGTGGACTCTTCCCCTGAGAAGCGAAGCGACGAGAGAGTGTGAGAGAGAGCGAGCGACCTGCCCTTTCAACCAGTGCATCTTTCTCGATTTCACCCCTTCCTAGAATGCTGGCGGGCTGAATGCTCGGGGGCCTGACACGCCCTCTATGAGAGAGAGAGAGAGAGAGAGAGTAGCCATTTTGGCTCAAGCCGCGAGTGGTTCAAGGCCCGAGCCCCCTGTGAGAGAGAGGGCCTGTAAACCCGGCCGCGGGGAGAGTCGAGCCAGAGAGTCCTCTTGATAAAGTGCGACCACTACTACCAGAGTGCTCCTCTACGCGACTTCACCATCCTCGCTTCCAGCCGCGAGATCGGGGGGGTCGGTCCTGTACGGTAGCCTTGAGCACCTGCTTCGGGACATTGTCAGCCCTCCACATCGAGGCACTCGGCGAGCCTACACAAGAACACCCTCTTCATAGTGATTCGTTGGAGCGACATCGCTGGGTGAAGTCCCTGGACCACACGCTGATCCGCCGCAAGTTCACCGCTGGGCGGGGGACACCATCCGGGGAGTGACTGTGCACTATCTGCACCTTGGCGACCTCGCAATCCGTGCAATGACGTCCTCAACAGAACTGCCGCGCCAGGCAGGAGTCGGCGAAAACATTCCAGTACTGAGTCACACGGGGCAAGCAGAGCCGGAGCCCGCAGGCTCCCCCGCACAAAAGCGGACGCGCGGGGATGAGCACCCCAACCCCGGAGCAGCCACCATAGATGCCATGAGGGAGCTGCTCCGCCAAAACAACGCAGAGCTCAAGGCCGAGATCACCCAAGCAGTGGGGCAAAGGGTAGAGCTGGTGGAGAAAACCGTCACGTCCCAGCTCATGGACACGGTGCGTATGCTGCAGAACATCACCGCCACACAAGATGAGCAGGGCGGGGCGATCAAGGAGCTCCGGGGCGGACACCAAAGCCTTGCTAGCCGCCTCAGTGCACTCGAGCTGCGGTCCAGCAGCGGGGCGGGATCCAGCTGGGGGTCCACCACAGCAGACGAATCCGAGAAGCGCAAACCCGCCATGATAATGGGCGGGTGGCATGAAGACCAACATGCGGAGCAGACATCGGCGGCAGCAAAGCAGATGGTTACCGACCTTCGCATCGACCTGGACGTCGACGCTGCCTTCTGCCCGGGGGTTCGCAGAGGCTTCGTGATCATCCCCTACGAGCCACGGAATGGGGAGTCGGAGCAGCAGCTCCGTGACCGCCTGCGCGGGGCGACACAAAGAGTCCTTGAAGCGAACATCGAGTTGGGCAAGCGAGAAGACGGAACTACACGGCGACTTTGGCTACATCTCTCGCAAAGCCCAGAGAAAAGGCGACGCGCCATGGTGGCATCCAAAACAAAGCGCCTGCTACTCGAGAACGGGGCGGCCAAGCACGAGATCGAGACGGAGTGGTCTAGTCTATAGTGGCACCGTCTGGTACCGCAACACCAGACTTTGCAGCGCTGTCACTCAGGCGCCGCATGGGGCGACCAACGCAGGCACCATGGGGGCATGGATCCACATGGGACAGATTGCCCGCCTTCTGGGAGCCTCGGAAGGGGACCTGCAGAACAAGTGGCAGCCCTTAGGGGCGGCACTGCGCTGAGAGGCCGACGACTCTGAGTTTCACGACGGCAAGCAAGACGGTCGCCACATCACAGCCGCGACATGGAACGTCGGGGGGCTGGACATCTTAAGATGTGCCCAACTGCTCGACGACATGGCGGGGCAGACAGCATTGCGGCCTACAGGGATACTGCTTCTCCAAGAGATAGTGGTGCCCGACCCTGGAATTCAATACCACGTCACCATCTATGGCAAGCTGGAGAACGACTGGAGGGGAGAAGGCATTGCATACGAAGGGGACCTCGGCAATCACGAGAGATCCTGCTGTATGCCGGGGGCGATAGCCACCACAGTAAAGCTACACGAGGGGCAGCGACTTGGACTTCTCAGTGGACACATCCCACACCACGCCACAATCCAGCAGGTGGACAACATGGTTCATGGATGGTCCGAGGCCCACTGCTTCCGCACACAGAGGCTGCTACTTGGCATTGACGCGAATGAGACGCTCAGCATGGTGTCGGGGTATAGTCGCCACCACAGGGCAGGGCAACGCACTTCTGCAATGGGCGGTGGAGCAGGACCTCTACTTCCCGGAGCCAGCGCTACAAGACCCGAGCCACTTCCCGTACAACCCGGGGCACAAACCCAGATCCATCGACTACCTGCTCCTGCGAGGCTCCGGGGCCAGTGGAGGGCGAGTGGCGCAAGCACGGGACATGGCCATCAGCGACCACGAACCGGTCCTGGCGGAACTGCTGCTCCCGCGCCAAGGCCGCAGACCCCCGCCACGCCAAGTCACCTGCGGTGTGAAGCAGTTGTTGCACCCAGAAGATGTGGAACGCGAGCTCCTCCAACCACCGCGCCAGAAAGACCCATACCGAGTCATTGTCGACAAGGCCCAGCAGATCCAGAACCCGACCTACAGGGCGAGACAAGGCTACAAGGAGAGCGCAGAACTCAAGGCAGCCAGACGCCGCGCACACAACAGCCGACCAGGGCAAGATCGGAGACAAGCTTGGAAGACCGTCCAAGCCAAAAGCTCCGCAAAACCGAGAAGCGTGACTGCGAGACCAGGCTAGCAGAAGAAGCCAGCCAACTCAACTGGCACGCCTTCAAGAAGCTCAAGCAGCTCACACCAACCACGGGGTGGGAAGAGCGGCTCCTCGACAACCCCTGCTAGACCACTTCGAGGCGATCTTCAACGCACAGAAACCCGGGCCCGCAGACCACATCAACGCCATCCGGGGCGAACTCACCAGAGTCTGCAAAAGAACTCCGTGGAAACCCTTTACCAGAGACGAGTTGGAGACCACGGCCGAGAAATGGAAGCCGAGAAAAAGCACAGGCATCGACGGGGTAGGCTACGAAAGTTTCAAGGCAATGCTGCGGGAACCTCAGTGGGCGCACTACATCCTATCCCTCATCAACGACTGCTTCTACAAGGCCAACGTCCCAGAAACAGTGGGGCGAGGAGCAACCGTCCTATTGCCCAAAGAACAAATGCCCAAGTCTTGGGCAGAGACCAGGCCCATAACGCTGAGCAACACCTTGTTGCGCTGGATCGCTCAGCTACTTCTGCTCAGATGCCAGCCCTACCTGGACCTCCACTGCTACTACCAGTACTGCTCCACGGGGCGACAAGCTCAAGAACTCATTTTGGCTCTTCGTCGCCTGATGCGCATGGCAAAAGACTGGGGCGTGAAGCTATGGATCGTGAAAGTAGACGTACGCAAGGCATTCGACAGCATAGCCCAAGACGCGCTTGCAGTCATGGTTCGGGACGCTGTTGCCAAGCGGGGCGGGCTAGTCTGGGAGAGCAGACTATGGCTGGAGATCCTGGAGGCCAAGGTCATCGACGTCTACGTCGGCAAGTCCCTCGTCTCCGTCACACAAAGCAACGGGGTGCGCCAAGGCAGCCCGGACTCGGCAGTGCTATACTCGGCCTCCGTCGGGGAAACTCTACAAGAGCTCCACGATACAGTCCCCCTGGGGAAATCGGGGCGGCCAGACCTGCCTGCATGCCCCTCGCAAGGGGCGGGCTACATGGACGACACGTACCTGTGGTCTGAAGATGCCAAGGCCATGCAACGATCCATCACACACCTGGAGGACAAGCTTGGGGGCAGGGGCAATGTCGTGAACGTGATAAAGACGCAAATCTTATGCAGCCAGCCCGACGACACCGAGTTCACCATTGGCGGCCAGAAAGTAAAGCCGGGGGGGGGTCGAAGACATCATGACAGCGCTCGGCTCCCCGCTCACGTTCGAGAAAAGCGGGGTGACAGCACTCACAGCCGACCTGCAGGCCAGAGGTCGGAGAGCGTTCCATGCTCACAGGAGATTACTGTGCGCCAAAACGCCACTGGAACCCAGGATCAAGCTTCTGACCACCCTGGTGCGGAGCTCTGCGACCTGGGGGTGCGCCACCTGGCCGAACAACACAGCGCTGCTACGAGCAGCCAACAGCTGCCAACTCAGCTGTATCAGAGCTATGCTCGGGGCGAAGAGACGCGCCACAGAGGCTTGGGCCGCCTGGCAAGTTCGCACTATGCGAGCGGCCAGAGTGGCACTCTTCCACAGCGGACAAGGCAGATGGTCAACATACGCCCTAAGGCAGATCTGGAAGCTACATGGACATACAGCCAGACACCCGGGCCCTACGCGAGACCTACTACTGTGGCGCAACCTCAAGTGGTGGAAAGAAGTCGCAGAACCCACAGGACGTGGAGCGGAGCATCGCCAAGATCGGCACCTACAACTGGATCGAGGTGGCACAGAACCGTGATCAGTGGATGGCGCTCCAGGCCGACTTTGTGGCGGAGTTTGATCTGCCCTGGGCCAGCGGGAGACAGCCCGCCATCGCCAACCTCACCCAGATACCCAACTTCCGACCAGTACGGCAATCTCAGCTCACCTCCAGCGGGGCAAGCGGGCGAATGAACCCCGGCGCGACAGGGGCGACTGCCAGCACGACCCTGAGCCTTCCCAGCAGTGCATGAAAACAGCGGGGCTACCAGCACGTCGTGAGGAACATGCACAGCTTTTCTCCATGTCGTTTTGCCAAATCCACTACAGGTTAAGCCCGAACCCTTCCCAACCGATACCCGAAACCTACATGCATGATGTTGCAGAGATTCTCTCCTTTGACTTGCACCTGTCTCCAAAGTATGAGCAGAAGATCTACCTAGTGTTTGAGGTCGCATGCCCAACGACCCCCGCAGCCTCGTGAAGCTCAGAAGCAGACCACGAAGCACATGAACATGGCGGGGCGACTCCTTCCTTGTAGCGGAATAGTGGCCCTAGGACAGTTGCTACTCTGGAGTGGCACAGCAGGCCCGCCCGGAGGAACTCAAACACGCGAAGCAGCCACACACACCAGCCACCTTGCGGAACCCAGGGCCACCCGCCTGGGGGCAGCACAGCACACTGCAAACTCACCGCCGCCGCAGCAGACCGAAGCACCGCCGGCAGACCCAGAGGCCAGCTCCAGCCAAGCCACAGCCCCGAACCCTGCAGGACCGACGGACCCGCGCAGCCCGGGCCGTCCAACCCAGCACGCCACAACACAACAGCACACACCCCCTAGCAACCAACGGCCATGGCAAAGGCGCAACCAATAGGAGCGCTACTATGCACCTCCATACATACCGGAGCAAGATGTATGGTCCGAAGACGGCTGGTACGAACCAGAAGAGACCGGCAAAATAGCCAGCCAGGTCTCCCCCTCACACCACCCGCCAGCACAACCCAGGACGAGGCGCACTTCCCTCCGCCTCAGCCCCAAGACCCCCCGGCGACCCCCCTCCAAGCAGTGGCAGCAGCCGACACCCCCCCAACACAACCCACACGGTGCCGCAACAGGGCATGCCGACACATGGCCCTCGCCCACCCCCCGCAGTGCCACCGCTAGCCAACATGGACAGCATGAGTATACATGTACTGGCTTACAGCAGGAGACCTACCCGACTCCTACATCTGGTGCCGCTCTTGCAATTCCGGGGAGCCCACCCGACACGTCCCCAAATCCCAGCGCCAGCGCCAGCGACACCTCCCAAGCACAAGAGCCGGAGCAAACACCACCACCGGAGCCCACGGCAGCCGACATGCCAGATGAAGCACCCACAGCCGACACCTGCAACACGGCGCCAGCCCAACCAGACGCGGCCATCCCGGACCACACGGGCGGCCAACCCTTCCAGGCAGCACAGACCAGCCCAGGCAGATGGAGCGCAACCCCCACACGCACCCGAGCAACCAAGCGAGCACTCAAAATCCAGCTCCAGCGCATGGGCCTCTGGCCCTACGGTGGCACAGGCAGAGGGGCGCGCTTCGCCCCACACAAAGTTCCCCCGCCACAGCGGCCGCACCTCCTCCACCCAGACGGCCCAGACGGCCCCCAACACTCCGGCAGCCAGTCAGCGCCACCGCAAGCTAGCACGGGCCCGCCTAATTACACAGGCACAGGCAGCAGCGTCGACCACACCCGACAAGCGCCCGCCGCCTGCTTAAACCGCCTCGCCTGCGAAGCCACCACCCCCACAGCCACCAGCAGATGACGATGATCCGCCAGCATGGGCCCAGCCACCCCGCGGCTGCCACCACAGACACAACCAGCCCAACCGAGAGCCGGAGCTCCCAGGATCCACCACCACAACCACCACATCGGCCCCGGAACACCCCAACCGACTCCACACAGCCGGCGCCGCGGGCGGGCAGCTCCAACGACCCCCCACCAATCTCAGCGACAGCCACACCAGCAGTCTAGCAGCTCCACGGACCCACTCCCACACCAACAAGCACCACCACTCTCACCAACCACCATGGCAGCCGCCACAGCCAAGGCAGGCCTAACCCTGAGAGGCACAGCCACTCCCTCGATCAACAGACCCACCATCCCTACCAATAAGTGGGCTCGGGGCAGAATCGTAGCCCAGGAACCGGGCTCGCCGAGCAACCCGCCGTGGTGGCTGGTGCAGATCGAGAATAACCCGAGACGCAAGGAGGAACATGAACTGGCGGCGCTCCGAGCGGAACCCAGCCCCCAACGCACCATAGCCCCGGGATCCGCGCAGAACACTGCCCGCCCATCTCGGTTGGCACTGTGCTCTCCATCACCAGGCCCAATCCCCACACGTACCTGGCGGAAGTGGTGGCTGCCCCGCCACCCGGGCAGTACGAATTCAATGCTGCCTTATTAATTATGTGAAGGGGACGTCCTCACCTTTACATGGCAAGATGACTGGATACTAGACGTACACCTCAACGAGGACGCAAACACCACCACAAGACACGGAGGCAACCCACCACCACCCACACGCCGCCACCAATGCTGCAGCCACACAAGCCAACGGGGCGACACACCCAGCAAACACGACAAGCAACACGGCCGCAGGGGCAAGCCACTCGACCCGCCAAGGGCGGCACAACTGCAAACCCAAGGGGCACCAAGCCCGAACCAAGCCACCGCAGGCACCGCGGAACCTGGCGACAGCCACCCTGCAAGCACCACAGCACAAGCGGAGAGCGCGGGGTCCACCACAGCAAGCGCAAGCAACCCCCTCTTCGATGGCAGGGACCTCCGCCGCAGCCAGAGAACAACCAACGCAGCCACAGCCACCGCACCACAGCAACCACCGCCACAGCCACCATCACTGCTCACCCAGCTCCAGGACACAAGGCCACTGGGCAACAGACTCCAACCACAGCCCAGCACAACCACACCAGAACCAGACCACACAGACCTCATGCAACGAATCAGCACAGCACGGGGAAGCAACGACCCACCACAGCCCAACTACCTCGAAGTGGCTATAGACAAAATTAGGAGCCTGCTGTACGAGACGGGCATGGCGGGGCTGCGCGAAATCACCTACCACATCGTGATCCTACTCAACCCTAGGCTTCCTAGAAGCTCCGTTTTGGGAAGCGGATTTGGGAAGCTCCGTTTTGGAGCTGGCAGCTTCGTTTTGAAGCTTCTAGGGTTTGAAGCCTAGAAGCTGCAAAATGAAGCTTCCTAGAAGCGCTTCTTGAAAATCCTAGAAGCGCTTCTAGAAAACTAGAAGCTCCAAAATGGAGCTTCCAAAATGAGCTTCTAGAAGCTCCAAAATGGAGCTTCCAAAATGAGCTTCTAGAAGCTTTAAAATGGAGCTTCCAAAATGAGCTTCTATATATATATATATATATATGCACGTGCCCCTAAACCCTAAACCCTAGGCTTAAATGCACGTGCCCCTAAACCCTAAACCCTAGGCTTAAACCCTAAACCGAAACCCTCGCTCACGACTGGTTTTTTTTGCAGGCTGCGACTTGTGAGACTTCAGCTGCTAAAGCTCTGTGCGAGCTGTCGTGAAACTATGCTCTCTGCGAGCTGTCACTGCTAAGGCTCTCTGCGAGCTGTCGTGAAACTTATGCTCTCTGCGAGCTGTCACTGCTAAGGCTCTCTGCGAGCTGTCGCTCTCTGCGAGCTGTCACTGCTAGCTAGGGCTTTCTGCAAGCTCTCACTGCACAGCTTCTTTCAAGCTGAAAAAGGGCTCGTCATGTCCCCATTTGAGGAGGACCTTTTCGGTCTGATGGCCACGTGTTGTGACACCCCCTGCTCGAAACCAGAGCTTCTGGAAGTGGTAGCCTTCCGTCTCGTCCCTATAGTTCCAGAAGTCCTTAGGGTGTATGCCCTTTCGGGCTTCGTCCAAGAGGTGGCCCAAGTAGTGCAACTTAGGCTTTCCTCGCCATGTCAGGCTATCTTCGGGGTCGAGGTGCAAGGCTTCCTCTTCCAAGGCCATATACTGGCTCATGAACTTTTCACCACTTTTCTGCAGCCGCTTCGGGTCGAAGTCCTCCATGTGCTGATACATTTGTGCACAATACTTTGCCACGTTGTAGACAGCTTGGTCATGAAGGCTTCCTTCCTGCAATCGCTTGCTTGCCGCCAAAGGCAGCAGAACGTCGGTACAAAAGTACCGAGTTTCTGCTGCCTTCGCAGCTAGCTCAGGCGCCTTTCCAGGCTTGACTATGTCTTTGGCCGTGAGCTTCTTAAGCCTTCTGCAGGCTGGAATTCCTTTCGCCTTGTACAGGCTCTGTACCTCTTCCCAAAGTCTTTCAACTCTTTTCTCGACACTTCTGTCTGGGAACTTTGCCAGCAGCTCGTTGAGCACATGGCCTGCTGCATGGGCACCACAGCCTTCGTCGACGACATGCATCCAGTCAGGCTTCATTGTCTTGTTGCAGACTCCCGGCAGGCCAAACAAAGGCGACACGTGCTTGTTGCGATCTCTCAAGCTCTCCTCGAACTCTGCCTTACTCAGGCTCTGGTTTTGGCGGTCCTCTGCAGACATCCCCCGCCAATTTTCGGGCTTGGCTTTACAAAGCCAACACATTCCTTTCAACTCATTCCACTGAGGAGCTCCAAAGTATTTGCAGTTCCAGTCCCAGTCGCCTCGAAGCTGCACCAGGCCACCTCTGGCTGCCATCGGTAGCCCTGCCATGCTTTGTCTCGCCTTGTCCAGGCTTTCCCCATCGTGCCTTGAGCTGGGGTATCTGCCTTCACCCAGGCTCTGCAGGGACCATGCAATCACTTGCTGCACTGCTTCTATGGTCTCGCGACCTGCCACATAACGGCTCTCCACACAGGTGATAGGAACCCGCTTCGCTTGAAAAACATTGGATGCCATCAAGTTGATGGTCATAAAATCGACGGTGGATTGATTCATCCTGCCTTGCACAGGCACCCCGTCCCCGTGGAGCCCCAGGGGGACCATGGGTTTGCCTTCCTCAGGCTCCCCAAATCGCTTTCTCCAAGCTGCCTCGATTCGCTTAAGTTCCTGTCCTAACGGACTGCCCGGTGCCGGAAGGGCCTCCTCCACTGCCCCTGGCTGCAAAAAATAATCTGCCAGCCACTCGTGGGGCAGCAGGAAAGGATTTTTTTTCAGGCTTGACTTCCTTTGTCCTCCCGGACTTCAAAGGAATTTCCGCCCAATAGAGGTCGGGCCAAGTGGAATTTTTC